GTGGTGTCGACACCCTGGCTTATCCCTGACATCTGCGCATCTGGTGTGTCACAGATGGGCTTGATGTTGGCTCTTGATTTCCTTACCCAATTTAGGAAAAGTATTAAGCAAGAATGAGTGTTACATTGTATCATGTAGCTTTATTATTATTATTTTTAAACCATTTATTTATCCCACAAAGGCTGGGGAGCCTTCAGTACAGGTGCCAAGTCCGGCCCCGGGAGCTGGGGGTCAGGCGATGATGGCTGCTGCCCCTCATCCTAACCACCCTGGTGGTCCGGCTGGGCAGAGCTGGCCTCGTGGCTCCTGTGTGCCACAGTGACGTGGCAGCCAGAGGAGGCATGGATGGGAAGCACCCCGATGGAAGGGGATGAGGGAAAGGGAGTTTGTTTTGGAGGTGGGGCTCGTGCAGGAGTCCGAGAAGCTGGTGGAGGACTCAGCACCTGAGGACTCGAGAGATAGAGGTGACAGCCCAGTGGGGCCAGGCTTCCCAGTAGGTGCCACTTGCTGAAGGACTTGGCTGTCATTCTGAGGTGACGGACGGACTGGGGGCATGCAGACCTTCCCCAGTGTAAGATTCCCTGGGAGATTTTGCCTTTTGTTTTAACAAACAATAAACCAGACCCTAAACTCCACCCCCACCTTTTTTCTCTGTCTGGGCCTTGGCATTTCCCCACTGAAGTTGAGCCTGTGTGGATGAAGCACTCTGATCTCAGGTTGGTGCGTGGGTTCTGGCCTTGAGGCTGTCTTCCTAACCCTCCAGGACTTGGCTGTGTAATGCTGTCACGTGGGGACTTCTGAGGATACATTTCTGTGCTCAGTGTTCCCTGTCTCCTCCCCTTCTTCCCCCGTCTGTGTCTTAACCCAGTAAAGCATATCCCCTCCTCCGAGTCTTGGAGCCCTCTGCCCCGAAGCCTCTGTCAGAGAGAGCATCACTGCCTTGCACTTTGCTTGGACACATCCCCTCTTGTACGCACTTGGCCCCCTGTCTTCAGGGTGTGCCAAAGGGTTCTGCTCTGTAAGAGACCGCAAAGGCAGGGGCTAGGTCCCAGTAGAGCTCATGAGGGCCAGTTAAACACTCAGTGGAGAAACACAGAGTGCTTGGGGCGCCAGGGCGGCTCAGTTGGTTACACGACTGCCTTCGGCTCCGGTCATGATCCTGGGATTGAGTCCCGCATCTGGCTCCCCCTGCTCTGTGGGGAGCCTGCTTCTCCCTTTCCCTCTGTCTGCTACTCCCCCTGCTTCTTGTGCGCTCACTTGCTCGCACGCTCTCTCTCTCTCTGTGTTAAATAAATAAATCTCTAAAAAAAACAAGAAACAGACTGCTTGATGGAAAGTGGTCTTGCCACAGCGGAATTGTCCCCTTTTGTTCCTGGTCATGGGGCAGTGGGGAGGGTTGGCTGCTGCAGGGATGATCAGGTCTGAAATGAGCATGAAGATGCAATTCACCCAGGAGAGTAAATACATTCTACATTAAAAAGCCCTATCCTGGAGCGCCTGGGTGGCTCAGTCATTAAGCGTCTCCCTTCAGCTCAGGTCATGATCCTGGGATCCTGGGATCGAGTCCTGCAAGGAGCACGCTTCTCCTTCTCCCTCTGCCTGCTGTTCCCCCTGCTTGTGCTCTTTTTCTTTCTCTCTCTCTCTCTCTCTCTCTCTCTCTCTCAAATAAATAAATAAATAAATAAAATCTTAAAAGACTCTATCCTTTCTCTAAGGTTAACATGGGTTTGAGAGCTCCGCTTGGTCTGCTGGTCCCCTGATGGCCATGGCTGCATGTGGAGCCAAGGGCTCATTTGATGCTTCTTATAACTATAGCATGTAGTCTTGTAAAAACCTTTCAGTGGTTCACTGTCCTCTTTGCTTGTCCCATCTTCAGGGAAACCTAAGCTTCTGGCAGTTACGGTACAGGTCTGTCTGGGCTACTTCAGGTATGTTCAGAGTCCTGCTGCTGTATGTGTTTTCCTGTTGTTTTAGCTCAAGGGAAGCTGATGGGTGGTAGTAGCGAAGTCATGATGTGTAGAAGATGGATGGATTCGATTATAAACATAAGAATAATTCTAGAAGATCATCCACGAAATTCATGAACACGCAAAAAGCTGGGTTAAGATATTTGTAATCAATAGAACAGAATTAAAGGATTAATATCCTTACAAAAATAAAGATTTGTAAACACTAGAGGCAGAGGGCAGGAGATAAACCACAAGAGTCTCTGTACTTGCTAGAAAACATGAAAAACTCATGAGTCAGCACATCCCCAAATCTCTGAAAAATTCTCCACAGATGCAGCTTTGTAGTAGCGTTCCCGAACATGGATGAGATGGACTGATTTGTTGCTGGTGGCACTGCCAAGTAGAGTCTTTCAGGATGAGAATTTTATGTCTCAAGAGCCTCAGAACTCTTCTAGGTCTTTAGTCCTCTTCGGGAGCTCTGTTCCAGGGGGTTGGAGTTTGCCAAGGTTTTGTTACCCATTCCATCATTTGCCTGCCTCTCTGCAAACTTTGCCTTTGCTAGGAATTCTTTGTGTTGTGTTGTTTTTGAATTGTCATAAAACACTTTAAGTGAGAACACGAGAAAAGGTTAATTCGGAGTGAAATCTCTGTTAGGGCTACAGGTAGAGCCTTTAGGGTTTTCTAAGCAATGGCCATAACTTCCCCTCTGAGGACAGAAAATCCCCACTTTTATGTATTATGTATTTACTACATAGTAAAATGTGTCCCCATATTCCCTACGAGCAGCAGAAAACAGAAATGCCCCACTCATCCCCATTATTGTAAAGGGAAAGCTATTTTAAAAGTCACAGAATTGCAGTAAATCACATAAACTTATTCCGTTAGGGAGTTTGCTCTATCTGGTGACATCCATGTCCCTGCTTCCCAAACTGGAACACATAGCCCTTGTTCTGTGCTTAGGATTCAGATGGCACACTGGGGTGTCATTTTGGGGAGGAGGGAAATGTATTTAAACCAGGGTTTCTCAGCCTTAGTACTATTCACATTTGGGGCCAGGTAGTTCTTTATTATGGAATCTGCTCCAGGCACTGTAGGATGTTTCACAGCACTCCTGGCCTCTTCCTGTTAGCTACTAGTAGCTTTCCCCTGGTCTGATGACCGGGAGGGTCTCCAGACATTGCCAGACGTCCCCTGGAGGGAACACCACTCCTGGCTGAGAGCTCCTGCGTTCAACAGACATGGATACAATAAGGTGATGTGTGTGCGAACATTTAACAGGAAGAGCCCCTCTAGCCAGTTTGATGTGTGCACTTGATTCTCTTCTGCTCGAGGCAACATGATGTTCTGGCCACTGTTTCTTTTGTTTTTTCTTTTTGTGTTCTTCCTACTGAACTCCCAAATTTTTGTGATTCCTTCTCTTTTCTTTTTTGTCTGTATTTCAGTTTCTCCCCTGGCTCCTCCAGTCATTGTTGAATGAAAGAGTCTCTAACAGAGTTCCTCGAACAGATTTCCTCCTTGTATTTCTAAACTTGGCGTTGGTGTGTCTTCACAGCTGCCGGACGGCTTGGCTGGGTTATTCACCCTCAGTGGCACATTCACTGGCGCGGAGTCTGACGTCATTTTAATGAATGCTCTGTCCCTCTCACCCCTACCTGCTCGTGTGTGCGTGTTTTTTTAAATAAAACTTTGGGCATACTTAGGCATGTTTTATTGACCATGTGCCAACCCTTGTAGGGATCCTTTGTGTCCTCTCATTTTTTGAAGCCAAAATTCCCCAAATGCTTGTTAAATTTTGGGTGGATCTTTTTTATTGTCCAAGTCATACTTTTGTTTGAAATTGAGTTTTTAATTTTCTTCTACCCTGAAACTTGGCTGCATAGAGTTGTTTCAGTAATTTCTTACACTTGACTTTTGCCTGGATTTTTCTCTTAGCCCGGAGCATTGCACTTTTCCCCTTCCACCCACATGTTTCTCTGAGCATTCCAGATCCATCTTGCTCTCCTTCCCCTTCCTTTCTTATCTCTTGCCATTTTACCTCCCTTTCTTTTTATTTTGTTTTTCTGATTTCTTCCTTAGGTTTATGCCGTTTATTTGATTGATAGGAATGTGTTGGCTTGATGTTTTGTATGGCATTCTTCTAGCCCATTTAAAGGTCATCTTGAGGCGTTCCTAGAACGTTGTGTGGTCATTTAATCCTAGATTGGTTTCATCTCCTTTTTTTTTTTTTTTTTTTTTTAAATGCTTATGAGTGTCTTCCCCTGCCTTTAGTTAGGTACCTATAAGGGAATTCAGAACTTGGATATCCATGTTGTCATACTGGATTAGCTATAACTGCACTCACTGTCTAGTATGGTCAACCCTAGTCACATATGATTATTTAAATTCAAATTGATTAAAATTAGATACAAGTAAAAATTGAGTTTCTTGGGCTGCCTGGGTGGCTCAATGGGTTAAAGCCTCTGCCTTTGTCTTGGGTCATGATTCCAGGGTCCTGGGATCGAACCCTGCATCAGGCTCTCTGCTCTCGGGGAGCCTGCTTCCCCCCCTTCTCTCTGTCTACCTCTCTGCCTCCTTGTTATCTCTGTTGAATGAATAAATAAAATCTTAAAAAAAAAAGTTTTTCTTTTTCTTTCTTTCTTTCTTTTCTTTTTTTTTTTTTTTTTAAGCTTCTCCAACAGCCCTGTGGGTAGAGACAATTGGGTTGGACAGGGCATTTTCATCCCTGCAGTGGTTTCTGCTAGAGAGTGCTGGGTTCTGAGAGCTGTACCATCATGTGTGTCAGAGAGATCCCCGTGTAGCCTTCTCACCGTTGGACTTGGGTGTTGCTGGTGGCCCAGTTCAATGGTTCTCCTCTCGAGTGGGGTGGTTCAGAATCTGCAGGGCTCCCTGAAGATGGTGGGGACTTGAAAAGTGTGATTAAGTGATGTGCTTTTTTTCCTGTTTGGATGTAACGTACACTATAACCGACTTCTCTCCAGGACACGCAGCGAATGTGTGTCCTGTGCCCTTGACATGCTTGTGGTGATTTGGCTGCTTCCTCTCTCTCTCTAGGTGCTGAGAGATGGTGGCACTTGTGGGGCTCCTCTCTGCCTGAGCATCGGGCCCTCCAGGCACCGGAAGAGCCAGCTCAGACCCTGGGTGCCTCGCCTGCACAAGCCTTCTCTTCCAGCCCCTGCAGTCCCGAGGCTGAACTGCTCATTTTTTCTTGATGATGGGTATTGGTAAGAACACTACGTCCAAATCCATGGAGGCTGGAAGTTCAACTGAAGGCAAATATGAAGATGAAGCGAAGCATCCTGCTTTCTTTACTCTTCCGGTAACTCTTTTCCCTTCTCCCTCTCCCCTTGACTCACTCTTCAGTCGTTTCCATATTGAATCAACATAGGATTAGGTTTAATACTCCTATTTTCAGTGGAGGTTGAGGCGTTCAAAAACTGAAGGCTTTGCATGTGAGACAGTCTTCGGGAACCCTCTTGGCTGACTGTGGTTTTGGCTGTGCTGCGTGCTGGAGTCACCTGATGGGATTAACTCTGGGAAGGAAGCGTGTTTGGCTGTGAACATCATAAAACCACCCCGCCCAGTGCTTACTGTGTGCTGGAGGGTGCTGAAAGCTGCATTCTGGCTCCAAAAATGTGTTCCAGTGAAATAACCTAAGATCCAGCTTCACACTCACATTGCAGGGTAGAGAATGACTGAATGACCAACCATTTTGGAAGCCAGAAGTCTTGCTTTGTATCATGGCGGCAGTATCCCAGATGCAGTTTTAGCTGAAGAGGTGTTACCAGTTAGAGAAGGCTGCTTACACACATTCATTAATTCAGTGCTAATACTTTTCCAGATGTAGGATTATGATTTGATGTGTATAAAGTTTTACCTGAAGTGTTGGTTCAAAAAAGGAAAAAGCTCTTTAGCGAGAACTTGCCTCCAAGAGTTTTTCTCTTAGTACTAGACTTGAGGTTAAGGGCAAGAACATCATTCTAGGATTCCTGAAAGCATGGTCCTGGAATTGGCCTGTGGCATTACCCAGTAAGAAGGATGTGAACATGCATCCTTAAGTACATTGATTGACTTGACTGGCATTCATATTTTGATTTTTACCCTATTAATTCCCAGAGAGATGTCCCTGATTTTACAACCAACGTCACTGTTTTTTTTGTTCCTACAAAGTGAAATTTTTAAACTTTTAAAAATTTAGAATTTAAAAACTGTTTAAAATTAAAAAATTTAAATTTAAACTATTAAAAAAAACTGATTCTCTGTTGTGTTGAAGGCTTAGGGTTGACAGGTTTTCTAGAGGAAGAGGCAAGGTGGTTTTCCAAGTTTAAATTAGATCGTCTTTGAAAAATGAAAAGGAAGATTTGTGCCCGGGTGTTGATTTGTCTCTCCTGCTGCCTGAGAGCTCAGCACACAGTTCACCCTCACCCTCTACTTGAGAGACATGAACTTGAGCTTGCCTTTCCCACCCACCTGCCCTGTCACTATGGCAGAGAGTTTTAAGTTGACTTGTTATCATTTTCTTTTTCTTTTTCTTTTTTTTTTTTTTAAGATTTTTATTTATTTATTTGACAGAGAGCACAAGTAGGCAGAGAGGCTGGCAGAGAGAGAGGAGGAAGCAGTCTCCCCATGGAGCAGAGAGCCTGATGTGGGCCTCGATCCCAGGACTCTGAGATCATGACCTGAGCTGAAGGCAGAGGCTTTAACCCACTGAGCCACCCAGGCGCCCCTTGTTTTCATTTTCAAATTGTGATACTCTACAGTTAGTTAAATCCACAGCATATCTATCTTTTTTCATATTTATTCCCTGTTGTTGGTTTTCCTCTCCCTCCCTCTTTGATCACTTTTCATTAAACAAACCAAACAGAAACATTGAGGGTCTGTGAATGGTCGCTACCTTTGTCTTTGTATATCTGAAAATAACTGTATTTTGCTCTCAACTATTGGGTGAATATCTGTTAATTACACACTACAGTTTTCCAGACTGTGTTTCTCTTTAACTGCTTTCTCGTGGTTTGGCTATCTTTTGCTAGTGCTAACTTCTGGTTGGTTTCCCCAGTGTTATTTTACAGTTTACTAATTCCTTGTGGACAGTCATGTGTTTATGTTGAATTTTTGTCGCAGGTTTTGTAGTTTTTATTTCTGAGATTTCTGTTTCCATTCCTGCCTATTTTGGGTTGTTAATTTCTTGTATGTATGTGTTTGTGTTGTTTAAAAATGATTCTTCATTTAAATCACCGAGGACCCTAATGTACTTATTTTAAAATAATTCTCCAGTTGTTCTGTTTTCTGTCTGGTGTAAAATCCTCTTCTGAGTGTTTCTTCTGAGATTTTCTTCCCTCTCCTGCCACCCGGACAGGTCTCCCTGCTTCTGTTGCTGTGGTTTTGCATTATGTTGGATAAGAATTTCCTCAGATGTGGCAAGGGCTGATTTGGAAACTCACATGGAAAGGGAATCAGTTTCTTTATATTTTAATTTTTTTAGAGAGCACATGCATGTGTGAGCAGGGGTGGGGCGGGAGAATCTTAAGCAAGCCCCATGCCCAGCGCCGAGCCCGATACAGGACTCGATCTCATGACTCTGAGATCATAACCTGAGCCAAAATCAAGAGTTTGATGCTTAACCCACAGAGCCACCCAGGCACCCTAGGAATTAGAATTTCTTTACACAAAGTAAAACAAAGGTGCATGACAATACTTTAAAGAGAAAAAGAGTAAATCCTTATTTAGTAGAGGAATAATGAATAGGTCACAGTAAGAGCAGGAGCTTTGCAACTTCTCACAAAAGTTAGATCATGTGATCAGAGTTGATATTAAATAAGAGAAACATAATAAAAGCTCTCCTTATCCCACGGGAATCTTGTTAGGCAAATTTGTGTGCTTTTAAAGGCAAGTAGGAAATGTGTAATACAAGTGAATGCCACATGGCAAGAAATTAGAACCAGAAAAACAGTGAATAGTCTTGAAGAACTGTCCCCCCTAAGGGCACAGGCCAGGAAGGACTGCAGGAAAAGGTCTGCAGTTGGGTGTGGAGAGCTCTGTGTCATCTGAACTCGGAGGACTGTGCAGGGGACACCAAGTTAATAGCCTGAACTTCGTGTTGGCAGAGGCCCACTTGTAGTACAGCAGGTTTCAGCATGTTGGCGTTCCAGTGCCAAGTTCACAGCTGGCTGAAGTGTTGAAAGTTCCCTAAGGCAAGTCTGCAGTCAAACCCTAAGTGTCAGAGTTTGAGTTCAGTCTGGGGTGCTGCGTGAGCACCCTGGAAGGACCCCTGCCCAGCCATGTTTATGGGGGTGGGCTTGGCCTATCAGAGATTGTCAGGGGAGATGGCCTCCAAGTCCTGAAAAACATCTCAGTGAAGCAGCTCAAGAGGAGGGAGAATAGCCAGGGAGCAGCCTGGCCGTGTCTCGTTCTGGGCATGAGCTTGCTGTAGTAAAAATACAGAGAACGGAGGTGGGCAGCCGGGGATGAATGCTTGCCGCCGAGTTGCTTGAGCTTCGGGGTAGAGAATTCCTGCCATGGGTGCTGTGAGAGGAAGGGCCTGGAGACAGGAAGCCCGGTCAGCCCAGGTGAGAACGGCTTGTGGTCTGGGAAGGCAGGCGGGAAAGGGACTCTTTGCCTGCAGCCCACGTTCGCTGGGGGCCTGTCTGGTTCCTGTGCCTTTGGCCTTGACTTCTCACGGTGGGAGGAGGTGGAAGATGGACAAAGAAGCAGAAGCATCAAATGGCAGCCCGTGACAAATTCTGTGAAGAAAATAAATCACGGAAGAGGGATCCCGAGGAGCAGAATGTGAAGTCAGATAAAGATCATTTAGGACCCGCAGGCCATTAATTGATTTATCCCTTAAAAATAGGTACTGAGAGCTTCCCACAGGTTTAACGCTCTGGGAAACAGGAGGGACTGAGACGAAAAATCGCTGACCTCACAGAGCTTCCACGCTGGTCACGAGACAGGCAGCACATGCTAGAGATAGGTCAGATGTGTGGATGTAGGTAAATACGAATGGAACAATAAACTCGGGAAGTGGGGTAGAAGCTGCTAGGGGTGAAGTGTTGCACCTTCAGCTGGCCAGGAAAGGCTGCCCTGAGGAGATGGCCTCTGAGGGAAAGCCGCTGTGGCGGTGATGTCTGAGGGACCGTGAGGAGGTGGTGTGGCTGGATAGAGGGCAGGATGGGGTCAAAAGAGAAGATGTAGGCCGTGTGGCCCTGGGGGGGATTTTGGCTTTTCCTGACCCTGAGGAAAAGCTGTTGGAGGGCTTTGAGCAGAGCGACCTGCTCTGCCTAGTTTTAAAAGGATCTCTGTGGCTGCTGAGCAGGGAGCAGACCAGTCAGGAGTTGAGTACAACAGGGCCGCTGAGCTGACAGTGGCTCCAGCCAGGGTTCTGGCTCGTGGGTGTGGTGAGAGGTGGTCGGGCCGCGGATCAGAGCTGACCCGGGTACCCACAGACTGGAGGGGGATGGAAGTACGAGAGGGCAGGCCAGGACAGCTTCCGGTATCTCACTTGAGCCTCAGGAAGAAGTGGCCAGGTACTGAGGTGTGGGGAGGCAGACGGGTGAGCAGGCCGGGGTGGGAAGCTGGGGGCAGTAAAGGAGTGTGGAGCTGGCCGCCGGGACACCGGGTAGAAAGCAGGGCTGGAGATCGTGATGCTTAGGGGAAGCAGCGTGGGTCGGAGGTACTCACTGGGTGTGAGCGGAGGGAGAGGGTATTTAGAGCTGGGGAATGGAATGTTAGCATCTGGGGGATAATGTCCATAGGGGTGAAAGGGAGGGTCCAAGGACCCAGCAGGGTGTGGAGGTGGAGGAGGGTCAGCAAAGGCGTAGGTAAGGAGGAGTTGCTGCGGCAGGAGGGAAACCAAGAAAGCTGTGTGTGGACAGTCAGTGACAAAGGCCTTGTGAGCCTTGTAGACAGCGAGTAAGGGTGGGCTGCTGGATTTACCAGGGCGTGGCCTGTGCCGGATGGAGTGGATTGATGGTTTGTGGGAGAGTTGTTGCAGGGATGCACCCCAGACCCCAGTGGGGTAATGAGGCTATGAGAAGGTATTTGGGTCAGGGTTTGGCAGACCTGCCGGGGTGGAGAAACTGGAGATTGGGGTCCTTGGGGGGATATCTAGGAGGAAAGCCAGGTGGGTGAGGCCCAAGTGGCTCTGAGCGGAGCAAAGAGGTAGATGTGACCTGGGACCAGATTTAGTGTTGGGTTGAGTGTGGGCTGTGAGGTCAGTGTTGGAGGCACTGGGGTTGGGCACCCAGGGGTGTGTTGGGGGAATGAAGTATGAAATAAACACATGGATCACGAGGGCTTTTGTTTGTTTCTTTTAAAGTTGGT